GGGGGGGGGGGGTGAGAGGGGGTGGGGTCGCAAGTGCTGGCTGGCATGAAGGCCATCGTAGCGGGTCATCTAGCGCTGGGGCCGGAAGGGCAGATTCATGCGCGCATCTAGAGCGTGCGGTCCCGTCGGGGCGGCGGTGCAGGGCCGAGAGCCGTCGCCGCCGCCCACCTTGTCAGGCGAGGGCGTGGACGGCAGCGAGCCCCCGCCGCTGCCCGCGCGCGCCCGCGCCGCCAGCCGCTCCCGCAGCCCGGCGGGGCTGTCCATCACCTCAAAGCTATCGCAGCGCGCCGACAGCGCCGCCCCCGCGCCGCCAGGGGTGCCCGGGCCCGCGCCGAAGCCGCCGGCAACTGCCGCCCGCGGCGGCCGGCCGGGGCTGCCCAGCTGCTCGCGGCGCGCTGCGGCTGCGTCGGCCGACGGCTCCGCGCCCGCTTGCGCGGGCGGCGGGAGGCGGTTCTCCTTTGAGAGCACGAGCCCCTGGGTGCTGTCAGGGTCGCACCCGCCGCCCCGCGCGCCCCCTCCGGCTGCGGCTGTGGCGCGGCCCTGCTGCTGCGCGAGCGTCGCCGCGACGTGGCCGGTGAGGAATTCGGTGTCTTGGTGCATGCACAGGCCGGGCCCCTGGCCGACGCCGCCCCCAGCCGGCGGCGCCGCGGGGCGCGTGACGAACTCGGTATCCTCATACAGCCCCAGGCCGCCGCTCCCGCTGCCACTCCCGCCGTGGCCGCTGCCAGCACCCACGCCCGCCGCGCCGACGGGCCTGGTAATGAATTCCGTGTCCTCATACAACCCAAGGCCGCCGCCGGCGCCGGCGCCGGCCCCTGCGCCACCGACCGGCCGCGTGAGGAATTCTGTGTCTTGGTACAGCGCCATGCCCCCCGCCGGCGGCGCGACGGACGAGCGGCGCCCGGCGCGCATGCGCGCCGCGGCGGCGCCGGCGGCGTCGGCGCGGGATATGAACTCTGTGTCTTCGTATAGATATAGGCCGGCCGCGCCACTCTGGCGGCCGCGCGGGAAGCGCTGCCGGTTGCAAGGGGGTTGGGCGCCACAACAGGGGGCGAGAGGGGTCAGCGAGGTGACAGCAGCGTCGACAGAGCAAAGGCCCGTTTCAAGGCCGAGTTGTTCCGAGTAGCCAACATCAACCTTGTACACGGTTTCGCCACGTCAGGCGACGCGCCGTGATGGCCGCGGCATCCGGGCACGCAGCAAACACTTGCGCACCTCCTACTGCACACACACACACACACCACAATATCCACACATATCCACCAACAAACACACACACCAACACACGCACACACCGCCCGCCTCACCTGCGTCAGGTCCCCCGCAGCCCCAGGTGCCTCATCGCAGAACAGATCATTCACCAGGCTCAGCGCCTCCCGCGTCTGCATCGTCGCCGTCGGCTCCGCGCCGCCGCCCCAGCCGCCCCCACCCCCGTCGCCCGGACGCCCCGCCGCCATGGACATGCGGCCGCCGCGCGCGACGTGCGGCGAGGGGGCGACGCTGGCCGTGAAGTCCGAGTTGAACATGCGGTTCAGCGAGGCCAGCGCCGCCTTGGTGGACATTGTCATGGTCGGTTCCGCGCCCACGCCTGCGCCCGCCAAGGGGCCCATGGAAAGCCGGCTGGTCCGCCGCCGCCGCTCCTGCGGCTGCTGCTGCTGCTGGTATTGCTGCTCCTGCTGCTCCTGCTGCTGCACCTGCTGCTGCTGCTGCTGCTGCTGCTCCTGCTGGTCGCAGAGAGCGGTCGCTACGCCTGTGGACGGCCCCGTGCTGTGGGTAGCCGCACCACCCTGCGGGGCATCGTCGGCATTGGCGCCCACTGCCCCGGTGACATCCTGCGGGGCAAGGTCTGCGGCCAGCACGGCCGGCTGTGCGGTTGCTGCGGCCGGCGCCAGCTCGGCCGGGCGCTCGCGGCGCTGTGGCGCCTCCTGCTGGAGCAGTTGCTGCTGCCGTTCCTGCTGCTGCTGCTGCTGCTGCTGCTGCACCTCCTGATCCAGGCGGCAAACCTCCTCTTGCTGCTGCTGCTGCTGCTGCGTTGGCAGATCCTGCTGCGCCTTCAACGCCGGCTGCCGCGCTAGCCAGGCGGCCGCGCGGGCCTCTTCAAAGCACTGCTCTCTGCCGTCGGGCCCCACAAGCAGGCGCTCCTCGTAGCCTCCAGAAACCCCGCTGCCGGCTGCCGCACTGCTGCTGCTGCCGCCGCTGCAGCCGGGTATCTTGCCTCCGCTGGGCGCAGCACTTAGGGCGGCAGACCCGAGCACCGGCACAACAGGTGGGGGCAGCGCCGCCAGAGCAGCATCCACCGGCGCCAGGGGCATCGGCCGCAGGCCCGGCCCGCGCCCCGCGGCGGCGGCCGCTGCCGCCCCGCCAGCGCCCTTCATCACCTGCTGCCGCTGCAGGCACGCCCGCGCCGCGGCGGCGGCGGCGGCCGCCTCCGCCTCCTGCTCGGCCCGCTCCTGCTCAAGAAACTCGTCATCGGGGCAGACCTCCAGCTTCGGCGGCCCCAGAGGCGCCATCGACGCGTCCTGCTGCAAGCGCGCCCCCGCCCACACGCCCGCCGCGAGGGCGTTTTCCTTGCGCACGGCCGCAAACGCGGGCAGCGCCTGCATGTGCTGCAGGCGGGGAGGGAAGGCCTCAGCTGCGGGCGTCGGACCCGGCGGGCCCGACTGGAATTCGTCGTCCACGCAGATCTGGAAAGCGGCCCCGCCTCCGTTGCCCGCGCCGCCGTCCGCGCCGCCGCCGGCCGCGTGCGCGAGCGCCGGGCGCGGCCCCGCGCCGCGG